AGTTCTTAATCAAATTTAGACCCCTCCCCTGTCCATGCCCCCACACACCCCTTTTTAGGTGTTTGTTCTTGGTTTTCCAAGGCCTTCAGGTGCATTACTAGGTTATTTTTATGAGCTGTCTCTGAAATTCTGATGTAGACATTTAGTGCTATAAGTTTAGTTTTCCTCTTAGGACTGTCTTTATTGTGTTTTGGAATGTTGTGTTTTCATTTTCATTCAATTCTAGGAATTTTTAACTTTCCTTCTTGATTTCTCCTTTTATCTAATTTTCACTCAGTAATGTGTTGTTTACTTTACATGAGTTTATGTACATTTTCCCAATTCTATTGTTGTTGATATCTAGCTTTATTTCTGTACGGTCAGATAGAATGCAAGATCATATTCCAATATTCCTACATTTGTGAAGACTTGCTTTGTTACTAATATGTGCCTGATTTTGGAGACAATTGCATGAGCCACTAAGAAGAAAGTGTCTTCTTTGGCATTTGGGTGGAATGTTCTGTAAATGTCTATTAGGTCCATTTGATTTATGATGTCATTTATCTCTATTGTTTCTCTAGTTTTTGCCTGGATGACTTGTGTATCATGACAGTGGGGTATTGAAGTCACCCATTTTCACTGTGTAGAAGTCAATGTATGATTTTGGATCTAATCGAACTCCTTTTCTGTAATTTGGTGCCCTTGTGTTTGGTGCATATATGTTTCAGATTGTAATAGCCTTTTAGTATATTGCTCCTTTGATGTGTATGAAGTGACGTTCCTTATCACTCCTGACTGGCTAATTTGAACTATATTTTGTGAAATATTAGAATAGCTATGCCTGCCTGTTTCTTAGTTGTGTCTGCTTGGAATACATTTTTGCATCCTTTTACCCCAGAATGATGTCAATAATTGATGATGAGGTATGTTTCTTGGAGGCAGAAAAATCTATGGATCTTATTTTCTAATCCAATCAGTTAGTCTGTGTTTTTTTACTGGAGAGTCAAGGCCATTGCTATTGAGAATTATTATTGACCAGTGTTTATTAATTCCCATTATGTTGGCATTATAGTTATTATTTTCTTATATCTCTATTGGTTAACTTCCCACTCACTGTGCACAAAACATCTACTATCTACTTTGTCCTTTCTTCCACAAAAGCCCTCAGCAGTAAGCACTGCCATCCCTAGCTGACAATTCAATATCAGATACTCTGAGAGGTTGCAGATGTGTTCCTGGCTCCATAAATAGACAATGAAAAAGACTTCACAGCCATGCTGACTCTAGAACTCCAGTCGTTAACTGGTATTCCACACTAGTGTCTACATTCCAGGGCCACCCTGAAAGCTCCTCTGAATCCAACTTCTGTGACCTGCTCCTGGGGATATCATATTTAATTCATTGGAGGCAGAGCCCAGGCATCAGTGTGCTGTAGCATCGTTCATAATCCTCACTATGCCTGGAGATAATTTTTCTGTATTAAAGCAGGAGCACTCTCACCTTCCAAACAAACCCCTGGGTCCATTTTTACATTAACTACAGCAGAGGATAATAGAGATGACAATATGGTGAAGGTGAGCTCTGTGATGACAAACACAAGTACACTGTGTTATAGACACACATATGTTCACACACTGCTCAGCCCAAACAAAATCATGGTCTTTACACATTGTCTGAACACCAGGAGATGGGTGTGCTTACTTCACATTGTAGAGGAGAAAACATGTTATGCCTTACCTTCCCTCAGTCCAGAGTCAGCGCACTCATGGGATGTTAAGTATTCTACCCTGCACTAAAGTCTTCAGAGGGGTTCCCCCTCTATTCCTCTCTACCTCCCTCTAGATCACAACTTCAGGTCACTGTCTAAGCACTTGTCGATTTCTTGAGGCCAATTAATGATGATAACATGGGTCTCAAGGTGTCCATGATTTGGGAGATTGAAAGATAATGCAATTTCTAAAATCACGGCTTCCTGGTTCTGTGCAGCATAGGGATGCCGAACTCTAGTTCTTCTGAGCAGCCCCAGCCATCACACTCAGCTCTGACAAAGGAATGCTTGGGTTTCTTCTGGACATTTCTTGCTCTGTGCATCACTTTTTTCTGATCTTCCCTCTAAGCCCTTCCTCTTCTTTCCCACTGCAGCTTTTTCAAATGGAACCAAGTTCACAAATCCATGTCATTTTCTCTAGGTCTTACGCCTTTATGTACAGAATGTCAAGTATTTCTGAAGGCAATCTGACATACCAGAATATAAAGGTAATATTGGGTCAAGACTCAACTGTATCACAGTACCATAGGCTTTCCCTTCAGCATACACACTCTGACTGCTGTGTGAGGAGTATGTCTTAAATCATTCTGCAGATGCCAGGGAGCTGCTGTCCTGTCCCTGATCTATGTTGTGCTAGGCAAGGAGAGTGTGTTGAGCCCCAGCTGGGAAGACACAGGCTAGGCCATCCTTTTAGCTTGTTTCCATGAAAGAGTCACCAACACCAGGATGCTTTCCACATAAATTTCTGTATACCTTTATAATACTTATGTAACACGTAAATAAATTTACATGATCTATGCTTGGTGTGCCCATGTAATAGACACAGGTGAGTGTGCTGCAAAGTCTGGAGACAGCAGAATAACTAAAGTTGTGTTTCCTGTGGTCTCTCCTGGCCAGCTGATGCTGTGGTTACATGAAATCCTGCCACCTTCCTTGGTTTGTATTCTGTAGCCAGGAGGCAACTGTGGAGTTTCACCTCCATGCTAATAAGAATTTCCAGTGATTTCAAAGCAAAGGTCACCGAAGTCATGATGTCATGCTACTAAACATTCACGGCATCTCCTCACTCCTGATTTCCCTAAGTGATTTCCAGCTTGCAGGGCTGCAGTTTCTGAAACAACATGTAAAAAGCACAGTCCAATAACCTGGTTTACAGAGAATAAAAACATACTACTTGGGGGAGATCCATAAAGTGATGTCTCTGTAAAATTCAACTCTCCTTTTTGTAGATTTTACTCAATTTTTAAAAGCTTGCATTTCATCAAAATGATATGGGAGAAAGTAATTTTATGGATACAAGTTGTTAGTAAATACATATTTCAAGTTGTTTTTTAGGACTTTATTTAAATTTACATAAGTATTATAAAGGTATAGGTTCATTATCTTTCATGAAATATGTGTATAAAAACATGTTTCTGATGTTGTAAGGGCAGATCACAAAATGACACTCAGAGCATGTACTAATGAATGCATTTGTACCATAAAGCTTTGAGACAAATGGAGCTTTACTATTCTTAACTTTGTTTCTCCTGAGATTATCCTGGCAGATATGCTGAGTGTGGAGAGAAAATTCTGGTTTTCCCTGATCACTGGAACTTTACTGCCTCTTCCTTCTCTTCTGTTTCCTCCTTGTCCTCCCACCCCTCTGACTTCTCCTCATTAAGACTGAGATTAGGGAAAACAAGTTCATTTGGCATATAACAAACTTCATAATTCAGTGGGAATAATTCAGTGAAACAAGAATTAAACAAGACTCATTGTCTAAAATATAAGATCAAGTAATCTTATAAGATAAAATTGTACGGAAGGAAATAAATTATTATATATTGCCACCAACTATCCATCTCAGCCTTAACCCCATGTTTGTGAATTTTGACATTTTTCTTTCTCCTTAATATATTTTATTACAGTGTTGTGTGGTCTAAACAACTATAGAATTATTTCATCTTATGTACACCCTTAATTTTAGGTGATCATTCTACTTTACTATGTAACTGGAAAATTCTTCACAGTATTTTATACTTCATATGTCTGGTGGTTTACTTAAAGAAAATATACATCCTACATGAAATAGTTGCTAAATTTTCTCATGTAAATTTTGGACTGGTGTGTCTGGAGTCTGGGGAAGTACCACTGCTTCCTCAAAAGAGAGATGAAACCTTAGATTCCTATGGTATATTCCTATTGGACACTTTCTGTTCAGTTATAACCTTAAAATGTCGTGGATTGAATCCTATAAAGAGGCCCTGCATCATACATGTGATTTTAATATCAATCCCAAATGAATAGACTCTGTGAAGAGAACCATCAATGATAAAATATTGGCAGGAACATATTACTTTCATTTTCTCCTTCAGCATGTAAAATCAAGGTGTAAATACATATGCAACATGCATGTCAGTAGGATTCAAACAGACCTAAAATTCTATCTTAGTGCTCTGTAAAGAGATTGCTCAAATTTTCTGCTGTTTTGTAATTTTTATCCTCTCTGCTTCAGCCAGAAGTTCTTTTAAAAGAACTGCATTAACTCTCCCTGGTCACATGCACAAGGAACTGCAAGAGAATAAAATCAGCAGCCAACACGCCCACAGAGATCACTCTGTGCCGCAAACGCTTCCATGTTTGGTGCATAAGACATCATCTTCGCTCACACCTAGTCTCTCCATAACACAGACATATGATTCCATATTTTCTTGATGAAGTGGCTGGAGTTAAGCCTGAGGGTATTAAAGGACACACTCAGAGTGAATGCCAGATTTGGGGTGGAATTTGAAACAGTCTGGATTCAGAGTTCACAATTAGCAGCATTTCTAGTGGAAAGAATCACAAAGAATATTTGTTCTGGCAATAAATGAACAGAAAAAAGAGTGCACTGAAATAACATAAACTAGGGCGTGTCTAAGCCATGGGTGCTCAATCCTTGAGGCCTAATTTCCATTGCATACAATATTCTTCAAATTCACTACAAAGTAGAGCTGTTGCACACCTGACAAGATGATGCAGATCAAAAAGTGAGATGCTGCCTAGAGAAACTCACACATGAGGTAATAGGAAAGAATAAATTTTCTCTGATGTACAGAAATGTCCAATGTACAGTAAAATTCATAAACTTATGGAGTCTTGCAATGGGACACGGAATCCTGCCATGATTAGGAAATGTTAGAGTAAGGGAAAAGGTGAGAAAGCTTCCTGAAGACCTGAGGTGGGGCTGAGTTTTACATGGAAGGAAGTTGAATAGGGATGAATCCTACTGATGCTGATAACTGAGACTCATAGCTGTGGCCATGTTTACGTCTCAGGAGAATGGGATGCCATCATATGTAAATCCCTCATCTATTTGCATAGCATTTTGAGAGGCCTCTCCCTCTGTGCCACCTACATGCTGAGTACCCTCCAGGCCGTCATCCTCAGCCCCAGAACCTCCTGTTTGGCAAAGTTCAAGCATAAATCACCACAGCACAATTTGTGTTTCCTTCTTTCCCTGTGGGTCTTCTATATGACCACTAGCAGTCACTTCTTAATATCCATTATTGCCACCCCCAATATGACCTCAGGTAACTTTATGTATGTCACTCAGTCTTGATCCCTTCTAGTTATGAGTTATTCCACAAAACACACATTTTCCACACTGCTGGCCTTCAGGGAAGCCTTCCTTATAGGTCTCATGGCCCTCTCAAGTGTTTACATGGTGACTGTCCTGTGCAGGCATAAGAAGCAGTCCCAGCATCTTCGAAACACCGGCCTTTCTTCAGTAGCATCTCCAGAGCAAAGGGCCACCCAGACCATTCTGCTGCTCATGGGTTTCTTTGTGGTTCTGCACATTTTGGACATCGTTATCTTCTACTCAAGAATAAAGTTCAAGGATAAGCCAATATTTTATTGTATACAGATTCTCGTGTCCCATAGTTATGCCACCGTCAGTCCTTTTGTGTTCACCAGTACTGAAAAGCATATAATTCACTTTTTGAGTTTCAGGTTTGGGAGGACAGCAAACATTTGATTACTCAGTGATGGGTAAGTTCCCTTTACATTAGCCACTGTGCTGGCATCAGAGGTGTGAATCACAGGGTGGTGTGTGTGCTCTGTGATTTAAGTTGAGTTATATAATTGTCCCTTTCTTGTTCAATCTATTTATTCTGGATGTCTGGATGGCAAGTAAGTCAAAGAAATTTAAACCACACACCCTCTCAGACGTCACAAGGATTGTAGGTTACTCAGTGGGCTTTCAAGAAGGACTTATAAGGCCACTCTCATGTGACACGGCCTGGGTTAGCTCATTACTTTTAAATATGTGATAGCTTATGACATTTTAAATAATTCAGTTGCCTCAGTGACCTCTAATTTTGCCAAACTAGATAAGGAAATATGTCGCCATAAGTTATGATATGACCTAGAAACACACACACACACACACACACACACACACACACACTCAAGAAAGAACTAAATGCAGAGAACTACAAGTCATTTGTACAATAATGGTCATAATAACAAGATTTAAACTAGTCAAGGGTGGAAACAAGCCACACTCTAGAACTGTCTGAGTGCACATCAAAACATTGCCTCTATTGCAGTAGAAAATTGTTCTAAAACAAGGAAACTCTGGTACACGGTATAACACAGGTGAGCCCTGATGGTACACTGCTAAGTGAAATGAGCCACACAGAATAAACATTGTATTAACTACTTACTGAAGGAAAAGTTTAGTGTAGTCAATTGATAAAGAGAAAAAAATTCAGTTTTATATGTGGTCAAAACTCCAAGTTTGAATTATAAGTTAGACATAGAAAATTGTTGTTTAGTTTTGGTATCAATGAATGACATGAAAATTATGGGCTTGTAAGACACTTTTAAATTTGAAAAATAAATCAAATTTACCCCCACAGGTATAGTTATCGTAAGTGAAAGTATTATTTGTCACTGACTATTTGTCACTGTTACAATAATGAACCCCACTTTCATTCTATAACCAAGCAATTTCACTCTTCATTCTTAGATATTATAACTTAGGTCTTGGGATTTTTATTTAAGAAAATAACTTTAATGGTTGATGAAAGGTATTAATCTGGTGAAAGATTATGTTATGTGTACTTTCTCTACTTTGAGTTAGCCAGTGCCCATTGGTTAGCTATTGTTAGCAAAAAGGAATATTATATTTAGATGATGTGATAGAATATTTGAAACATAAAGAATATGAGCAAATATTGAGAATTGTATAAAAGACATGAACATAGGCAGCCCTGGTGGTACACTTGAGTAATTTAGAGGCTGAAACATGGGGATCATGAGTTTAAGGTCAGCATGAGTTACTATAGTGAGTTCTAGGCCAGTCTTGCCTATCATGTCCCAAAACAGAACAAAGCAAACAACAACAAAAAGAAAAAAAGAAACAAAAACCAAAAATGGTTGGTAGAGAAATAATAGCTTCAAAAATTAAATAAATATAAAATAAGCCAAGGAAAGATTTAGTTTAATTTCAGTGTCACTAGGCTGATAACATTAAAAATCACACCACTAATTACTCATCAGAACAGCACCTCATTGACTGTCAGAGGGAATGAAAAATGCTAGACTTTTTAGGAAAACAGTGTGATAGTTTCTGACCCTTAACACTGTAGGAAGAGGGCCCTCAGAGCCACAGAGAACTCATGGGAGCATCAGGAGCCACTCATACCAGAACAATACATTAAAAAGTATAAATGAGGAAGAACCCAATAGAGGGATGATTTTGGAAGCCCTTGTCAAGAAATCCAATGGACTCTGATATGAACATTTGAAAACTGCCCTGTTCTGACTTTTTTCTAGTTCCCAGTCTAGAACTTGTAATGCTAATTACTCTTGCCTTTACTTCTCCTTCACATCTCCTATTCATGATGCAAGGACTTTCTTTTCCCCCTAGAAATATGAGTTATGCAATGTAGAGTCTTTTAGATAGACCCACTGAAGGGATACTCCAATTGCCTTATCCTGCATCCCCGTTCAGCATGGAAGAAGCCAGAGCAGTCTGCGTCCCTATTGGCAATTTGGGTAACCCCTTCAGAGGATGGTGTGACAAGAATAGGAGGTAGGAATTCACTGGGCAGTTAGGGTAAAAAGACCCCAAAGAAATGTAGCCAGTTTCTTGGCTAAAAGTCAAAATGTCCTTGGGCCTGTTAGCAACATACTCTGTTCCAAAGGCCAAGAATGTCCAAAGTATTTGGGAGCTTGTATCTAATCCTTAAAAGATTTTAAGGTTACCTCTTCAGAGGGGGGAATGTTAGAGTGCCCCAAAGCCCCATAAATATAAACAAATGAAAGAAGAAAAAAAAAGAAAAAAAAGGTGATGGGGAGATATGGGAGATGTTGGAGGGGAGGGGTGGGCATAGATTTGATCAGAACACCTTGTATGAATGTGGGAAATTCTCAATAAAGTTTTTGTAAAAGTTTTTTTTTAAAGTATGAAATAGGTTGGAACTAATTATGTCTGAGGATTAAAATGAGCACAGTCGGGTTGTCTGCCTGATGTGACCCTCATCCTTCAGGCAGATGTGGCAAGAGAATATATGGAAAGATTTGGACCAAGCTCTCCCTAATTGTTGTTGTACAGGATACAATAAAATAAAATCAACAGGCAGGTAAAAGTTTCCACTGGGATGCTGAGTATCTGTGCTCCCCAGCAGGATCTTGACACCTTCTAAAGACATTAAAATTGCATTCTCCAGACAGGAATTAAACGTTCACTTTAGCTAAATCAATTCAGGGTCTGCTCGGGTGCAGAGTTCTCCCCTTCCACATACATCTGTGTAAGTGCTCTGTGTGTAATGGGTCAGTTTGCAGGAAGACTCCCAGGCATGCTGTGGGAAGAGGACATTTGGAACTATGGATGAGGTTTTCAGCAACAGTCCTGCTCATCACAGAAGACCAGGTTCTGTACAGGCAATAAGGACATTTTCTTCTTAGGATATTTATTTCCATAATTTAGACTCTTAAAGTTAGCTAATTTTTATTGGATGAATCATTAATTTTAGATTTGTATTTATTTTTGTGAATGTAATGACGACTAGCTGTATCAGTACTTATGTGACATACAGTGTGTGTTTAGTGATTTTCTTATTTCCGTACAGATTGTCACCCTTTACTTACAAATCCTGTTTTATATCTGTCATTGTCATATCTCAAATAGTACCAGAAGCCACTTGAAGTTTGAGTAGTGAAAGATAATTTAGGATCTTTACAAGGAAATGAGGGATTTTTTTCTCCAAAATTTCATCTTTTAGAGGATAACTAAATAAAATTATTTCACTCATCATTCTTTGGAGAACACCTTTTCCTTCCCCCTCTCCCTCCTCTTCCTCTTCCTCCACCTTTATTTCCTTCCCCACATCCCTCCCTCCTTCCTTTCTCTCTCTTCTTTTCCTCTCTCTCACTTTTTTTGAGACTGAGATTATATGGGTTGTACAAAGAAGTTTCAATGGCCATTATTTACTAAAACATTTAGTCAACAGTATTACTATGTAGCATTCATGGTCTATTAATCATAAAATGACTTCTAATCATGGCATAAATTTCAATTTTAGGAGATCTGCATATTTATAATTTATAGATTTAACCAACTGTCTCAGCTCGGAATTCTTTTTTTTTTTTTATGGTCTTTTGGAGACAAGGTCTCCCTGTAGCCCCAGCTGATCTGGAACTTGCTTTGTAGACCAGGCTGGGCTTGAACTCACAGAGATCCACATTCCTCCACCTCCTGAATTAAAGGCGTGCGCCAATAGCACTCCTTGTCTGTGAATTTGAACACTTCTGCTACCTCATCATGTCTTACATTAAGGAGGCACAAGGAATAAAGAACCATGAAGTAATTTCACACTAAACCTTTGATTTTCAGCATCACTTCTATTTTACTGCTAACTGGAAAAAATTTTTTCTAATATTTATCATTATACCATTATATACACCATAAGTGTGAGGAGCAATTTAAGTAAATGTATTCAGCATAAAAGAAATATTCTACCATCCTTGTCTGGTTTCTTATTTTAATGGAAAATGCTTCCAGTTGTTCTCCATGTAGAAGGACATTGGCTGTGAGTTTGTTGTATATAGCTCTTATGTTGAAGTCCAATTCCCTCTAGAACTTTTAACATAAATGCGCGTTGGATTTTGTTAAAGGTTTTTTTCTGCATCTATTGAGATGATCGTGTGATTTTTGTCTTTAAGTTCATTCATATATTTATTACATCTATTGACTTATGTATATTGTACCATCCCTGCATTCCTGGAATAAAACTGGCTTGATCATTGTGAATGATCTTTTTGATATGTGTCTGTATGTAGTTTGCATTTTGCTGAGAATCTTTGTGTCTATGTTCATTAAGGATATAGGCCTACAGTTTTCTTCTTTTATTATGTCTTTACCTGTGTTTATAGTAGAGTGATGCTGGCTTCATAGAAGGAGTTTGGGAGTTCTCCCTCTGTTTCTATCTTTTTGAGTAATTTAAGCAGTATTAGTTGCAGATCTTCTTTGAATGTCTGGTGAAATTCTGCTGTGAATCCATTTGGACCTGGGCTTTTCTTAGTCATGAGGTTTCGTATTGCTGTTTCAATTTCCTTGTTATGGGTCTGTTTAAACTGTTAGCCTCTTCTTGGTTTAGCTTTTGTGGTTTCCATGAACTTAGTAATTTGTCCATTTCTTTTAGGTTTTCAAATTTAATAAAGTATTGGTTTTTAAATTATTCCCTTATAATGCTCTAGGACTTTTTGGTGTCTATTGTGATGTTTCTCCTTTCATCTCTGATTTTGTTGATTTGGATTTGTTTTTTCTTTCTTTTGGTTAACTGGGTTAATAGTCTCTTTATCTTGTTTATCTTTTCAAAGAAATAGCTCTTAGATTTATTGATTCTTTGTACTGTTTTCTTTGTTTCTATTTCATTAATTTCTGTCCTGATGTTTGTTATTTTCTCATCTTCTTGGTTTGGGTTTGGTTTGTTCTTGCCTTTCCAGAATCTTGAGATGTACTTTTAA